TTTTATTATTTAAATACATACATATGTGATGCAAATAATAAAATTTATTGGTAATATTTAATGATGAAAAGTTATATTGATTAAAGTTATATTGGTTTATATTGATTTAAAGTTCCTGTTTCTGTTTTACAATATCCGAATAATAATTTTTATGTATTCATTTTATTCACTTCGTAAAATAAAAGAAAAAATTATAAATATTTATTATAAATAATTTACATTTTTTATAGTTAATTTCATCTAATTTCATTTAGATTGCAAATCTTATTCTCTTAAAGTATTTTTGTATTTTAGTGGTATTTAAATGGATGGATAAAAGGATATTAAAAGAATATTACATATATTATAAATTTGCGTATTATAAATAATTAAAAATTTTTTTCTTTTACTTTACTTGGAATAAAATACGTTCAGGTAAAAATCACATTCAGGTATTAAAAATCAGAAATTGCATAAAACATTATAACATCTCGTATTATCGTTTACTATTCAAATTTTAGTTATATGTATTTCATACAATTACAATATTTTATACATTACATACAAATGTAAAACCTATCAGAACAGGAAATGAAAAAAACAAGATACTATCGTTTTCGATTGCATGAAATACATATAATTAAAAATATATTGATTTAATCTAATCTAATCTAATCTAAAGCTGTATACTTGTATCTGCGAAAACCGACAAGAATCTAAAATCGCCATGTTCTTGAAAATTTCTCTTCACTTAAAAATATTAAAAGTTATTTATCTAAAACTGCAGTAAAATATCGCCGTCATTTCACTGTATAAAACCAAATTATCTGTTGTTTTGTTTTTGAAGTTATTCGAGTAATAAATTATAACAAAAATTTGTTTAGCTGATATTAGTTAATTTATTGATTAATTAATATTTTTAACTAATATTATACAGCCAAAATATTCTTAATTGTTTTTATATTAAAAAATTTAACAAGCAGACATAAATCTTGATCGTTCGACTAGGTTACTCGCGAGAAAAAAAAAACGTTTTAAAATTGTATGAATGAAACTGTCTAACCGTGAATCTGATATCTATAATCTCAGATAAAAAAAAAATACACGATTTTCAAATTGACAATCTAGTATCGACATTCTTTAACTTTGGAACTATATAGATTAGGATCTGGCCGGATCTTCCCGAGATAGCGTTCTCGAGTCTCAAATCACCAGTTCGAATCCTCCGATGTCTCGTGTCTGTTATACCGGCTTACGTGTTTATAGCCATTGCAGAATTTTTCATTCGAAAGCAGTCGCACTACACGATCGGGCAATGCCTGGCAATGCCGTCGCGCAATTCGCCGAGCCGACCATGAATCGACGACGCGGCCTTGAACCATTCTGGTATGTACAACGTACGCCGTACACATGGGCAAATTGAATTTCACTCGTAACTTCGACGAGGACAAATAAGACTCTTGCGAATGCGTAAATCTACTCGCTCTTTCCCCAATTTTGCCTTATCGATTCAAGTCAAAAATTGAATGAGGCAAAAAAATGATAGAGAAAATGATGTTTACTTGAAAATCATCTACAAACGGAAATTTGTGACTTCATCATTAATAATCAAAAGTTAATGATGAATGATTACATGTACTTCGCTTGCTCGAGGTTATTGATCGCTCCACTTACTACACATTAACTTGTTTATAAAAACAAAAAAAGATAACAAACTGTTTAATTTTTTTTAAGCGATACAAAATTAGAAAAAATTATTTATTCAGGAAAACATTGACGCAATGCTTGATATGTAATGTTTTGTACAATATATTCTCACATCAGAAATAATTAACGGATAGAATTTCTTTTCACTTTGCTAAACACTTATGAATTTCGGATAATTATTTACTGGAGCTGAAATCTTTCTTTGTGTTTAAATAATTCCGTTAGCTCGAAATAAGCAATAGCATAAAATAAATCGGACTATTTCACAATACACACCTTGAATTTTCGCATGAAATTATTCAGACGGTATAACGGTATGACAGGATTGTTAAAACGAGTTACATCTCAATGAATCGCATTAAACTCTTAATAACTCTAAATAATATTCGCATTAAATTCTTAATGGGATTTTAGTTTCTCTTATTATAAATTATTAAAGTCTCTTTATAAATTATTAAAGATTGAGAATGTATGAAGATCATAGAAGATATAGATTTTGTAAAGAAAGTGCTCATATCGATCGATTTCTACGCTTTAGGGAGAGCAAAATTAACTCTTACTCTACAAGCGATTCTTGTTCGTGCAAGTTTCTTTCGGTAATTATAAATTATACTATATTTTATATTTTATTATTTTCCAAAATAAAGTTCCAATATTTATTCTAGAAAGTTGAAAGTATGTTGGTGAATTTTTAGAGATTTTTTAAATTCAGTTCTGAATAGCTGAAAAAAAAACAGACAGATTCTAGTGTATGGATGAGGCACCAAATTGTACCCTTGTAGGGTAAAAGTTAATTAGGCTATCAAACAGTTGTAATCGAATTAATCGGTTGCCATTAAGGTGTACGATAATCCATCAAAATTCGCTGTGAAACATTCGCGATAGAATTTTACACACAATCTATTCGTGATACGTACAGATAGCGTCTCATCTATCATTGAAAAAACATGGAAAATATCGATATCTTATAAAACAATTCTTGGAATTTTCTCAATTATTAACTGTATCCGCTTCAGTTATGATTAGATAAGCGATTCCAAATACATTTGCGTTCAAATCTGCTCGAGCGTCGTACATTCGTATCGCGAATAATCGTTTATTTCGATTAATCCCATTCACAAACATTAAAGAGATGTTCTAAGACGTCCAAAAGTCAAGTCTTTAAATCCTATCTTAAAAACGTTCTCAGAGTATAACGTTCTCGACCATGTAACTTTTATTAGAATAGAACAAAAAGATGTTAAAATGACTTTAAAATGATCACTAAAAATCGCTTTCCAATCATTTACGATCCATTTTAATGTCATTTTGACGTTTAAACATTTATTACTGTAACTTGATTCTGCTTGAGAAGCATACAACAGTTTTCCTAGAGCGGAAACATGAAAAGTGAAATTATATATATATATATATATACAAAAAAAATTTTCACTTTTCATGTTTCCCTAGAAAAAGTTACATAATTTTCCAAGCAGAACAAGTCATTATGATATCAAAATGATGTCAAAATAACTCCAAAATAAGCATTAAAAGTCATTTTGAAATAATTTCTGATTCATTTTAATGTCATTTTGACGTTATCGTGACTTATTGTTCTGCTTGGGTCCCAAACAGAATCATAATAAATCAGTAATATCAATCAAAATGACTCGTAAATAAATCGTAAATGATTGAAAAAAAGTGACTTTTAATGCTCATTTTGGAGTTTTAACATCATGTTAATGTTATAGTGGCTCGTTGTTCTGTTTGGAATCTACAAACATCTCTCGAAGTGTTTCAAATAGAACAACACAATCATCCTTAAGCCATAATGATATCATAAGTTGACATCATGACGTCATTTGATACTTAAAATGAACTTATAAGTGACAAATGAAGTCATATGATCTCAAGTAAAACAACAAATCACGATATCAAAATGATGTTAAAATGACTCCAAAATGATCATTAAGTCGTTTTTCAATCATTTTCGATTCATTTTAATATCATTTTGACACGTTATTATGACTTGTTGTTCTTGGGATATCCTTATGATATTATTATGAATTTCTGTGTTCTACTTGAGATGCTGCATGATACGAGGGATGCAGCTGGTTGATCGATCATGTGAAATCACGTGCGGAATCGCATACGAAATCCGTGTCATCGTGCACGCGAGATTTCCCGAAAGGAATTGCCGCAACGCGAGATCAGAGACTATACGGACCGAACGGAATAGAGGTCGCGATCACAGTCCTCCCGCGAGCGATCGCGCTAGATGTTTTGGTCGCTTGCAAAACGAAAAGCCGAAAACGCGCCGAGCAAGCGAAATACTTCGGGATTACATTGCGAAAACTGTATACATTATAACGGAACCGCGCGCGGCACAGAAAACGAACTACGGAGGACGGGATGGTGTGCGTGTCTGCCATATGCGTTACGCAAGGAATCGCTCGCACCTGCGCAAGCGTGTGCTGTTCGTCTAGTGACTGCCTGAAATCGTCATTTAATCTAATCGTGAAGAAGGAAAAGAAAGGCAGAGGGAGGGTGACAACGAGAGAGAGAGAGAGAGAGAGAGAGAGAGAGAGATGGGGCGAACGTGATTCTTCTCATCTATCTATTAACATCCTTCTAACATTGGTAACTTCGCGCAATCATTTTACAAACCATTTCCACTTGAGAGCAATAGGAATCTTACCTGCCTCGAGTATTTCACGGACGTCTACTATACCTATTTCTTTTTTGCGCCACACGCTTGTCTTTGCTTTAAACGAGTCTCGAGTGTAATACTTGAAGTTTTCTTTTCGTTATGACGCTGATGTTGATGCAATCTCTTCCGATTTCGCTCGATCGTTCGCGTAATGCTCGCGTAATCATACGTCCGCTGGACCATTTCGGGGGACGCGATTACATCCTCATCTTAGGTCTATTTTTTATTGCTGTAC